TCACTCTATCGCAGACTTCTAACAAATTTTTGCTGGTTTATCAGATATTAATGTTTTTTTTATTTCCCCCTTTTAAGGCTTTAAGCAGAGATTGGAAGTGAATCCCTATATGTTATTCAGATTTTTTTTTCCTCACCAGAGCCCTACCCACAGGATAAAAACAGGTTTTTAAAATCCCAACAGTTATCCTTCCTTTCCACCCAATTTCCTCATTGTTGGACAGCCCTGGCAAGCTACACCTCTAGCAATTAAGACAGGTATAAACCCATTCCCTCTCCCCTTCCCAGTGAGAGAATTGGCAAGTGTTCTGTTTCTGAAAGATTGGAAACAAAGCTATCTGTTTTAAATAAGAGTTTTTACCTGCAAATAACATCTCCTGCGGTGGTGTGTATCAGGGAGGAGAAATCTCTGTAAGCCTTGGTTATCAGGAGGGTTTTTTGTGTGTTTTTTCTCCCCTTCAAAAAAAAAAAGTTGAATGTTTTCACAGAGACTTCAAGGGCAGTTTTAAGGATGTTTATATTTCAGACAACCTAAACATTGTTTGGAGCAAAATGAGAGATTTCATTTGGGGACAAGCAAGTTGATGAATTGCAGTCAGCATCGTGTTCTCAAAGAAGGCATTTTTACTGGGGGCTTTTAGTCTAGACATGCAGAGGAAGAAGGAGGAAGGAGAAAGAGGGGCGAGCATTCTCACTCTAACACTCATCTTTTACGTGGCACCTTGGCCAATGCAATAAATAGTTCATAATAAATCAGACTTGCAAATAGTCCGTCTTGTGCTCACTCGGGAAGCCTAGTGATTTACATTGCCTAAGTCATAAAGAACACTGATTTATTTTCCTACTTATGCTCTTTCAAGCTGGTAAAACATTTTGTGGGCCAGTAAATGTTTGGTACCAACTGGTAAAACATGAAGAATTATATCAAAGTCCACCCTGAGTGGCACTGTTTTGCTGTATAGGAAATACTTTTTTATTTCCCCCCTGACCTCTGGCATTGCAAAGGTCAAGGGAAAAGGAGAGAGCAAAGTAGAAACCAACGTTTAACCCTACAATAAAGTAGCTCCAGGACATAACAGCACAGGGGTAGGGCAGAGGAAACATCAACATGATTATTAACTGTAAACATATGGAGTAATTAGCTCACAGTGGTAACAGAGGAACATTGGCAAGATGAATCTAGCGGTGTGTGGGCGGCGAATGTCTTATAGAGATGACATAAACTTCTAACAGAAGTGAGAGAATATCACCCAACTTGGGGAATTATATAAAACTCCAAAAGGAAAAATTTAGTGTTTCTGGACTTGACAGATTTCATAGAGTTTTTAAAAGTGTAATTGTTTTTAACGGTGTGGTGAAGTCTGTGTGTTAGACTGGAAATAAAATGGCAATGACTGCCTGCTTTTTCTCTGCATTCTGATGTGAGTTGGATATAAAGCAACATATTTATTAAATATGTAAGCTTCCCTTATGATTAGCCAAACTTGCTGACCCAAATTAATATAAATAATTGTAATCCTTAATCTTTTAATACAAATATGTTGCTTTATCCAAGGTACTTCCTTTACATTCAGGAAATGTTTGCTGGACACTCAGATGTCCATTAAATAATTACTTGTTGACTAACTATTGTTACTGATATTTTCATATTCTTACTCAAAAGTCCTAGGATAATGACAAACGATTGGTGTAGTCATGGTTAAAATCCAGAAATTTTCTGTTCCCTGGCAACAAATACAAGTTATGCAAACTTTTGTACACATAGAAAACAAAACGGTTTCTCCTAGTCTATTCATCAGTAAACACATCTGGAATATAACCATTAAGCAGCCTTCACCACAACCATTTTTTAAAAGTACTTTGCACAAAAACAAGAATATTCCTCAACAGTTTTGGAACTGTTGAAATAAATTTCCTCCTTCTGAGTGCTTCCTTCATGCAAAAATCCTTCTGCTATATCTTCAGTTATTTTTTTTATATGTGAGGTTCCTTCAATGAGAATTAGAACTGGCATGGAAAGTTGATCAAGCTGCCCTTTGGTTTGGCTCAGTGGATAGAGCGTCGGCCTGCAGACTTGATGGGTCCCGGGTTCGATTCCAGTCAAGGGCACATGCTCAGGTTGCCTGCTCGATCCCCAGTAGGGAGCATGTAGGAGGCAGCCGATCAATGATTCCTTCTCATCATTGATGTTTCTATCTCTCTCTTCCTCTCTGAAATCAATGAAAATATATAAAATAATTTAAAAATAGAAAGTTGATCAAGCTCATGATCCTCAGAAATCATGGCTTACAGGATCCTGAAACTTGCAATTAGTTTAAACATAAAATGATTTTCCTCTCTGAAAAAAAAACATGACTCCCTTCTGGAGGTATTTTTATATATGCCTTCATCCCAGGAAAGGACTTTGCCGTATTCTAGGGATCTGTGACCTCTGCTTGCCATATTTTCGGTGATGGAACTCTGATCGAGGGCACCAAGGAGACAAACTGAAGTGCATTTTAGAAACTTAAGTTGTCTTATGTTTATTTTTCTTTCTCAAGAAAATCTATTATTGGATCACAGGTAAAGAAATAAAACAGGATGAATAACTGTAATTGATAATCATAGTTCCCCACTATAGTCTTACAAGATTTTTACTTTTATTTTTTCCTTCAAAATTTTCCCCTTTGGTTGTCACATTTTTTTCTCCCACCTTGAGTGGCAAGTAGATGGGTATTATCCCTAGTAGTATGACACAGTGGGAATAAGACAGGTTAGACAACCCGTTCATTCCAGGGTTGGTGCTATGGTCAGTGACATCTAGGACCAACCTTCTTTTTTAAGCACCCCCCAATAAGACCTTTGAACTGACTGCATTAAGCTGATGGTAATACATGCAAGGAAGTCCTGATACTTGTATATTTTTATATACATAAAGCTACAATAGAGAAAAGATGGGGGACAGCTGCCATAAACATCCCAACTTCTTATGTCTCCTTTTGCAAAACAGATTTGCCTCCTAACCTCTCCACCAGAATCAGTTGCCAGATCCTATGGTTTATATATGTTCCATTTAATGTGTTTTTTATAAACCTAATATAAAGTTTTCCTAGTTGGAGGAAGTAATCACTTTCCATTAAGTCAAACAGTCCCAATCCATTGGAAGTTAAAATATCTGACAGAGAAATAGAAACACTCAGCTTTGTGGTCTGGTGGGTCGAGACGGAATGGTGGTTTCTGGTCATTGCTGCCGATGAGGAGAGCCCATTATTTCTGCTCTGGCAGGACTGGCTCAAGATAGTCGACATGAAAATATCTTAAAGGTGTCATTCCATGTCCTTAAGGAATTAAACATATTAAGATAACAAAAGGAGGATGTCATGAAACCATTTCTAGATTACCAGATATTTGTAGGGTTTGGGGTTTTTTTTGCAAGGTAACTTAAATTAAAAATCTTGTGTTTTTATCCTGCAACATCTTAGAGTAAACGTTGCAGAATTCTTTGCAATCAAGGGGGGAAAATAGAAGGATTGATTGAAGCCAACACAGACTCCTTACTACACACAAAGAGGGACATCCTGGTGACACAACTCTTCAAGTTTGCAGGGAGGCTATTTCCATTTCGTGGTTCTATTTAGGGTTCAGTGGCCTCCCACTGCAGACCTGCTATTTAGTCTGCACATGAAAATTAAACCTAGATACTGAGCTTTCCTCCAGCCCCACCCCTACCCATGTCTCTGTGGTAAGATCGAGGATTCAACTCTTAAGACATCGTAAAATTCCATCAAGTATTAGGAGATGGGATTGGATATTGGGCTGTCTTCCTCCTTGGGATCAATCAGTGGAAGCATACCCAAAGGTATATGCCACCATGCACATTCTGTGGCATTAAAAAGAACGAATGCCGTAAGTTAATTAAAATTAATGAAGATAGGTGCAAACCATATTAAAAAGAATGAAGATTAGGTGCAAACCATATTTCTAGGATGTAGTGGGTTCTTTTCTAAACTTAACCAAAGCAATGAAAGAGTTACATTTATTACATTCCCTTTTCCCCCCATTTGCAAAAGAAAACTAAGGCAAATGAGTGCAATTTTCCAATAGTCATAATAAAAATATAGTTTTCCAACTCTGCCCACTTTCCTTTCCCGCTCATCAGTTTTGTGCCAAAAAATTCCCATGTTTCGCCCCGGTATGGTGCAGCCTCAGTTGTCTGTGAAATAAGTGCGTGAATGGTGGCCAGCAGTTCAGTATTTAAAGCCCTTGGTGGCTGGTGCTCATAAAAATGTCACAGTGCACTTCCATTTTGAAAAGTCCTTTTAGCCTCCATTCCAGAAGCGCCATTCCAGGACTGAGCCTTCTTTCTTTTTTTAAATATGTTTTTATTGATTTCAGAGAGGAAGGGAGAGGGAGAGAGAGCTAGAAACATCAATGATGAGAGAGAATCATTGCTCGGCTACTTCCTGCACGCCCCCTACTGGGGATCGAGCCCTCAACCTGAGCATGTGCCCTTGACTGGAATTGAACCCGGGACCTTCCAGTTCGCAGTCCAATGCTCGATCCACTGAGTCAAACCAGGTAGGGTGGACTGAGCCTTCTTGACCTGACTGCTGCTATTCGGCCTTCCCACGTCGCCGACAAGCCCCTATTGAAATGTATACGATTCTTGGCTGCAATATTTTTCCTTAATTGCCTCAGAGCTGCTCTTGTGGGGCTACACAAGCTCAAAAGTCCCAGGATAATGACAAACGATTGGGTGTAGTCATGGTTACAAAAGCCCTTTGGCTTATGTGGCAAACATGAAGCAGTGTCGATACATATCTCAAGGTGCAAGCTATGTCTACAAGAAGTGGCTTGTATGTTACGTTACTTCTACGCTAATGAAGAGGGATGGATCTGAGGAGCCCCTAGCTGCTCTGCTATGGAAATAAGATTCTCTGGGGACAGGAGAGCCTTCTGGGAAGTCTGCCCGGCCAGGACACAGGGCGGCTGAGAGTGGGTTTTCAATTTTCTTCCTGACAGGGAGGATTTTTCTTCTCTCAACCACATGCACACTTTGGTCACAGCAACCAAGTCCCTGGAAAGGTGAGGTTTATAGAGGTGAGTGCCCTGCGCCCTGCCCACATCATTCGCGTGGCAGCCAGGCTGTCCTGTGGAGAGTGGCCGTCAGAGCTACGCGAAGAAGAGAGAGAGCTCTCCGCTACGTAGCCGATGGAGAAAACCATTGCTTTGAGCATGTGAGAGCCACACTGCTTCCAAAAGTTAAATGGAGTGTGAGCTCCCCACCCTCTGAGATCCAGTGATGGACCCAGTGCTGTAACTAACAGCTCCAAGTAGAAGCATTTCAAGGTCAGTGGAAAGATACCTTAGTAAAACAACCGTTGTGTTGTGTTAAGAACTGTTAAGGAAGTAGTCCGAGGGACCATCCTTTTTAGCTGAGTTGTGTCTAAGGGGTTTGAATAAACTACTTGCATATCAGGAGCTTCAAGAGCTCAAATTAAACAAAGTTTCTGGAAATGTTCTGAACAGCTGATCACATTCCATCTGCCCCGAGGTCTCTGTGAGTTCATGGCCTGAAAAATTCTGTTTCCTCCCGGATTTAGAAGAGGTTCCAGGTAGACTAGAAACACCGAGAAATGGAGTCATTACCGTTAGATCCAGGGGGAGGGTTTCCAGCCTTACTGAGTCCTATTAATTAACCGGAGAAGAAGGAATAAAGTAATACCTGCCAGCTCTTATGCGATGGCCTGTTTCAGAGTAATACCCTCACTCCACACCGCGGGCCGGGGACGGGTGAAGGGTATATCTGCCAAACAGCTTAGTGACTTTCTGGGGTTTAAATACTAAGTGAAAAGAGAAGGTCACGGGCAGCTGAACCTCGGCCTGTCTCTCTTTCGTCTGTCCGTGGCTTTGGTCAGGCTACATCCTCCTTTGTGGCCAGGACTCCATAGAGAATCCTGGGGTCATGGCCCGTTGCCTATCAAGAGGTAGAAACGTGCTGCTGAGGTGGGTGAAGCCCGAAGTTCGAGGGTTGGGAGTAGAGGGGCAGTAGCTTCATACGTTCCACATTTCCCACATAACCCGAAGCAGACTAAACAAAACGGGTGTGAAATCTCGTGACTTGATACTGCCGTGGTTATATTTTCTAAGCTGTAACCCATTCATTGGTAGGTGTGTTTGGTCCCAGGATTTACAGCTGTCTCCATTTTGGGGGGGAAGAATGTTTGAAACCTTTTGCAAAAGATTTGCAGTAAGCAGTGGCCTGTGATTAAAGCCCAGGATGGAGTTCGTGAGTGTGTGTGTGTGTGTGGGGGGGGGGTGTTCGTGTGTGTGTGTGAGCACGTGTACGTGCGTGCATGTGTGTGCATGCGTGCAGGTGTGTGCGTGCGTGCGTCCGTGCGTGTACATGTGCGTGTGTGTGCACGCATGTGTGTGTGTGTGCATTCATGTGAGTGAGTGCCCGCTCACGTGGGCTCTCTTCCTCCCGTTTGCTGCTTTTACGCAGAAGCGTCACACCTGGTAGCAGTTAGGAGCCCCTTCACAGCTGAAGTGTTTCAAACACTAATGAATGGGGGTTTGGTCATATAATGCAGACAAGCTCTAAGGCATGCGTTACTGAATGGTGTGCTGTGGTGACCTGGGGAAGGAAGAGAGGTATAAATTGTGTCAGTTAGCCACCCAGACAAAATGAAGCCATGTGGAAAATCAAATCTATTAAAGTATGAAGACTGCTAGAAGCTGTTTTAAGCCGGCCATTCTTAAAGGGGCTCGGTTTGCGGCCGGGGTAAATGTTTACCTCTTCTCCCGGATCTTTTTCACATGCTGTCGTAGGAGACAGTGTGCAGCATTTGATAAAAATCATCCTTTCGCTAACGACGCTTTTATCAGAAATGTTTATTGTCTCCGCTTTACCACCCATGTCCTGAGAGGTACTGCACATTTGTAAAATAAGCAAAAGGAAAGAGAACTGTGTGGCTCGAGCCGGCTTGCAGAAACTCCAACAAATTCCAGAACCACAAGGAATCAGAAAAAAAGGAAAGAGAAGGAGGAATTAGATTTATATGAAGACGAAGCTCTGTAAAAACATATATATTAGATTTTCTCTGCTTGGCCAGCCCAGCATTAAATGTTTGGTTGATGTGGACTTAGCATTGAGAATGAGCAGTGATGCCAAATGTTGGTCATTGTCTTAAAATGTACTTTCATGCATATGAGACTGAGGAACCCCCTTTAGAGAGGACGTGAGGAGGCAGCTCCTGCAGCCTGAGCTCAGGCCCCCTCCTTAACTCACACGACCACTGCTTGGTCGCGGATGCTTCGGGGTCACACACAAGTTCTGACGCCCATCTGACAGCTCTACTCCTGGCCCTACTCACCATGTAACTCTGGGTATATTGCCTTGATTTTCTCACCTGTACAATGGGAATAATAGCAGATAGTCCCTAAAAGCATCTAGTAGTCACCATAAGAGCATCAGCTCTTATTACCAATATCTAGAGGACACCTTCATTTATGCCTAAGTAAGGGTCCTCCTGGACTCTATTTTTCTTGCTTGCACGCTGGTTTTTAAAACTGATGAGTGGCATGCTGTGGGGAAAAAGTCACCCATTTCTTTTTTACCCTAATTGGTGAGGAAGCTTCCACTGGCCTGACATTCTCTGGACTGCAAACAATTGAATTTGCTGACCAGCCACCTTGATGTCAGGCCTTAAGTCAACAGGGGCTCATGACTGCTCTGGGGAAAAACAACACCTTGATTCCTCAGTTACCGATTTAGAAGCCCTGGGAATGCGGGGCCTGCCAATTATCCTCGTCCTCTATTGAAGGGAGCACAGTGTGCTGTGGGCACAGGGCCCCTCTGAACTGTGTAAGCGCAGCCCACGCGGTCTAATGCTTGTGGCCTTTGTGTGTTCCAGGAGGAGACTGAAGAGACATCCTCACAAGAGTCTGCAGAAGAGGATTAGGGGGCGCCCACGTTTGATTTCTACCTCAGCAGCAGTTGGATCTTTTGAAGGGAGAAGACACTGCAGTGACCACTTACTTTCTGTTGCCATGGTCTTTCCACTTTCATCTGGGGCGGGGCAGGGTGGGTGGGGGAGGGGTGGGGCTCGGGGGGAGAAATCACATAACCTTAAAAAGGACTATATTAATCACCTTCTTTGTAATCCCTTCACAGTCCCAGGTTTAGTGAAAAACTGCTGTAAACACAGGGGACACCATTTAACAATGCAACTTTTAATTACTGTTTTCTTTTCTCTTAGCCTACTAATAGTTCGTTGATCTGATAAGCAGGAGTGGGTGGGTGAGAAAAGCTCTGAATCAGGTTTAGTCGATCACTGCACTGCACACAGACAAGAATCATGTCACAGCCGTGACACTGGGCATTCACGTAGGAAAGGCGCAGTGTGTGACACTGTAGCCCCCAACGCCACCCAACCCGCTCGCGTAGTGAGGCTTCTGTTTAGAACCAAAGATAGGAATAGATACGACTTCTCTCCTTTTCGTATAATCTTGTAGACACTTACTTGATTTTTTTTTACTCTTTTATTTCTAAACCAGACGAAATGCTGATGTGTCCTTTCATTCAGCTAACAGACCAGAAAAGATTCCGCTCATTTTTTTTCAAAAAGGGAAGTAAGCACACGAGTGTTGCCAACTCCCAGATGTATGGCTGTCACACATATCAGTAGGGGAACCCATTGGCCCTGTCACACTCTTTCAGGAGAAACACTCATCTAGGTAGGATCTACTTCCCACAGAGCCAAATGCCATTCAGCAGTATATCACACTTGTCAGCCTCCAAGCGTTGAAGGAACCTAGATAAGTAAAATCATCTTCTTTGTAATTTAATGAAAAGGTACAACAATAATGCATGATGAACTCACCTGAATTATGAGGTAGGAGCGAAATCTAAACTTCTTTTGCTATAGTTATGCTACAACTTTAAAAAAGCAAACAAAAAAAGCAATCTCTCTCTCTGCCTCTTTTGTGTATCAGTTTCCGTGAAAGACCTAAATACCACTTACCTCAAACTAAGCTTATGTGTTACTTCAGGTAACGCGTTTTGACATAGGATGGTTGACTGAGGTGCTTCTCTTTGGCTTCAGTTCACCGTCTCTTCATTCAAACTGCACTTTTAACCCGAGATGCAATATATCCCCACTACTCAATACTACCTCTGAATGTTACACTTAATTTACAGTCTAGTACTTTTTACATGCTGCTATACACAAACAATGCAAGAAAGAAAGACAAACTTAATGGGTAGGTGATGCTAACGGCGGTTCTTTTTGTACACTTAACCCACAGTTAATGAAGCAGTCTCCTTACTGTGTTTCAGCATGGCTTTGTATTTTTCTATGGTGTTTTTTTTTTAATTAAAATTTTGCAAATACTTGTTTCAGCTTCTCTGCTAGATTTCTACGTTAACTTGAATAGTTGTTGTTTTGTTTTGTTTTTTTAACCAAGTCGCTCCTAGGTTCTTAAGGATCATTCTCCTCAATCGCACTACACAGCACACAGAATTTGACTGTAATGTTTAAATATCACCCTCCAAGTTTGTACCTCAGATGAATTGTTTAAGGAAATGGACTAATTGACTTGCAAAGACCTACCTCCAGACTTCAAAAGGAATGAACTTGTTACTTGCAGCCTTCATTTTTGCCAACGTTTGACATAGTTCAAACTGCAGCTATCCCTAGTCAAAGCTATTTTTGTAAAAAAAAACGTTTGCTAGAGAGGAACACATTTTTACATACTTTTGCAAATAAATAAATAAAAGAAAGCCAACCTTCAAAGAAACTTGAAGCTTTGTAGGTGAGAGGCAACACGCTTGGGCCTTTGCGATGCAATCAGAAATACGTGTTTTTAAGATTAGTTGAATATGAGAAAATGCTTGACAAAGATTTTCATGTACTTTACACAAATGTGATTTTTGTAATATGTCTCAACCAGATTTATTTGAAGCGCTTCTTATGTAGAGTTGTATTCTTTTCTCTCCTAGTGCGTGTGCTGACTCTTTAACATGGTATTATCAACTGGGCCAGGAGGTAGTTTCTCATGAGGGCATGTGTCAGTGTGGCTTTTAGTTCTGAAGCCAGATGAAACTCAAAACCATCTCTCTTCCAGCCGCTTCAGGGAGGTAGCTTCAAAGACCGCATACCTCTCTTGGACTGGCAGATGGCTCACTGTTGTGAATCACCAGAGGAGCTATGGAGAGAATGGAAATTCAACATCACTGTTAACTGTGCATTAAATAAGCAAATAAACAGTGGCTCATAAAAATAACAGTCCCATGTCTTTGGTTGGGCCTTTCTGAAACCTCATTGGCCAGCTCGTAAAACTGACACAGTTGCTCATGTTGGCCAAACTCGGAAACCGAGCAATTTCCATCTCTGATGAAGTTACTCTTTTATTTCCTCTCTGTTGTACAATCAAAACACACGACTACCTCTTAAGCCCCAGTATACCTCATTTTTCATACTGAAAAGAAAAGAAAAAAGCTTGTGGCCAATGGAACAGTAAGAACATCATAAAATTTTTATATATATAGTTTATTTTTGTGGGAGATAAATTTTATAGGACTGTTCTTCGCTGTTGTTGGTCTCGGCTAAGTAAGACTGGACATTTAACTTTTCTACCATTTCTGCATGTTTGCAGGAGAAAAGTATCAAGACGTTGAACTGCAGTTGACTTTCTCCCTGTTCCTTTGAGTGTCTTCTAACTTTATTCTCTGTTCTTCATGTAGAGTTGCTGTCTATGATTGTACTTTGAATCGCTTGCTTGTTGGAAATATTTCTCTAGTGGATTATCACTGTCTGTTCTGCACAATAAACATAACAGCCTCTGTGATCCCCATGTGTTTTGGTTCCTACTCTTTTTCATAACTCCATTAAGTCAAGTTTAGTCAAAGCAGGTCAAGGAGAGAGGCAGTCCCTTTGGAAGTCGTCATGTCGCCCTCCTGCATATTGTGCGTCCAGACTTCTACACACACTGACACAAAGCTTTAAAGTATCATACTTCTTCAATCGGCTGCCCTGAAGTCATCTTTCGTGGTCTGACATTTCATTCTACAAAGATGACGTCACCTTCGAAGAAATGCAGAGAAATAATAGTTTAAAACTAGAGAATTTCTAGTGAAGGCTGGCATTGACAAACTGTCAGCGAAATAACTGACATACCAGTTATCTTTCAAGTAACATTTGCAGAGATATCCAACAATTTGGAGAAAATAAGGAATGAAAGGCACTACTACATAGGAGTCTTTCATTTCATAAATACTATAAGCAGGGGCAGAATTAGTCCACCACGTTCCAAATCACTATGACATCTCGATCGCTAATGATGGATGAATAAATCCCAGATTCTCAAAAGGCTAAAATCTTCTGGTTAGTGCTGCTACCATTGTCACCAAAACTTCTGCATTTAGCTTCTTAGGAAGGACTTGCCCATATTAAAACATCTCCTGTCAGGAAATCTATTCTCAGGTTTTACTCCACTCCTTCATTTATTTTCACAGCCAATATTTTGTGAGTGCCTACTTTGTGCTGAGCTCTAGACCAAGAGGCCCTTCGAAAGATTGTCTCCTTGGAGAAAATTATGCAAGTGTAGAAATACAGGCAGCATGCGAAAAGAACCAACTATATTGCTTATGCAACAAGTTTCAAGAATTCAGAGGAGGAAAAGCCATTTCCTGCTGTGGTGGATCATTAGTTCAGTCTGTAAGAGGGAGACAGGCCAAATGCATTTAATAGAACCCGCATTTAGTCTTTTCATTTTTATTAATATAGAAAAGCACATAAGAAGAAATTACTTCCTGAAAATGAAAGTAAACCAAGAGGGGATCTTTGGGTTGAAAAAGAAAGAATAAAAGGGGGTATGTTCAGAATAGGATATGTTGGTGAATAGGATAAAAGTTTTAGCACATTTTGGAGTCAGTTACTCACTAAACGATCTCTGAATTAGGTTTTTTTCTAGAAAAATTAAACTAGTGCTTTCACACAATAAGCAGTACGCTTACAAAAGTTACTATGTGAAGAAATCTTTTAAGTTTAAACCTAAGTTCAAATAGCAGTGGGGCCTCTAGTTTGTACAGGATATTGTTTGGGGCAATAAAAGTTGATGAGACTTCATCCCTGCCCACAAAGAGCCAAACTTCTCAGGAGGGAGGTGGACCCAGGGAGAGCTGTGTAAACAGAACCTTACTGAAAGTGGTTGGAGGCACCCCCAACTCTCTGCAAGTACCAGGGAGGAATTGCAGGCCCTCCCACTAAAGGGCGCTAGCATTGCCATCACAGGGGACCCTGGGGCTGCATGGGCAGTGAGTCACAGCCTACGTAGCATTTCATATGAGTGATTGCTTTTCAGTAGGGCTAGGGGCACTTGACTCTTGTGAATTGAGGAATGCTAAGTGGTCTAGGAGTATGGACAGTAATAAAACCAGAACTAAAGAATAACATTCCAGTCGGTGAGACATGATGCAAACTCAGACTATAGATTAGGGAATGAAACTTCAGGAAAGTGAAAGAAAGAAGAAGAATAGATAAGAGGGCAGAAGGAATATGCTTTATATTGAGTGTATTTATTTACATATGATGACTTGTTAATCCAATATTTTTCTATTGATTTTTAGAGAGGAAGGGAGGGGGAGAGACAGAGAGAAACATTGATGTGAGAGACACATCAATTGGTTGCCTCTCGCATGCACACTGACCAGGGCCAGGGATTGAGCCTGCAACTGAGGTACACGTGCCCTTGACCAGAATCAAACCCAGGACCGTTCAGTCCTCGGCCAGCGCTCTATCCACTGAGCCAAACTGGCTAGGGCTATACATGATTACTTTTTACTGAACAAGTGTAGTTCTTAAAGTTAGGTAAGGCCATCCTTGAGCAATTACTGTTCAAAGTCCAGGGACACTGGGAAAGACCTCCCATTATACCATTTGTTGTAAAAGGTGTGGGCTCCGAAACTAGACTACCTGGGCTTGAATCCTGGCTTTGTCACTAATTGGCTGGGGGCCCATGGGCAAGTCACATAATAGTTCTGAGATCACTTTTTTTCATTTTCAAATAGAAATAACAGCAACTACCTAAAAGTGTTGTTGTGAGGAGGATTAAATATGTCAGTGTATGTTTTCTATCATTATTTGCCACACAAGGATATCCACAGATTGCGGTCAAAAGGTATGAGGGTTTCAAACACCATTTTAGTTGTACATTCCATGCA